AACTTTCTCAGCATCCGCTTCGGGCATCCGGACCACAATCGAAGTCGCCTTCTTGGTCTTGCGGTCCCCCATATCCTTGCGGAGGAAACGTGCATTCGTTATGCCAATGTTGTGTGCGACCTTGAACGTCTTCTTCATCTCCGTGTCGAGGTCTGCGTTATTATCGGGGATGGCATCAAACGGCATGCTGTGTATCAACACTGCCACATCCGTCGGTGCCCTCCTGAAGTCTAGGTATTTTGGCTCCCCTTCCCCTATCGTCGCGTTTAGAGCTTCCGTCATCTTGTCCAAGTATCGGGCATAATGACTGGAATCGCTGTTCGGGGGAGTCGTGATAGTGATCGTACCATTCCACTTGTTGGAAGCAACCTGTAGATTGGTAGGGGCTTTGCACTCGCAACGGGTAAGGACGTCTGCGATCGCCATCGAGATCCTGGCCTCCTCTCGGCTAGGGTCTCCCAAAGGCTTGGATTCCATCCTTGTCGCAAACAGTTTCCTTGCCGCCGCCGTCTTCTTTCTAGCTTTCTTGGACTCCTGCACCTTCCACCCGTCTGAGTCCGCCTTGCCGTCTTCTTCTTCCCCTTTCGGGTTCTTGGGCTGTGGTGGCTTGGGAGGGGTCGGGCCCTCGCTTGCCTTCCTCTTCTTGCCTTTCTCGGGGGTCTGTGCCGCCGCCGCCGCCTTGGCATACGTCTTATCCCCGGTGCTCGTCGCTTTCTGGGCGGGCCTTTGAGGCACGGGCCCACTTTTCTCCGCCTGTTGATCTTGGACCGTGCGCGCCAGGTTTTGAACCGTCACAGTCAGCTTTTTCACCTGGGTGGCCAGGGCCGAGATCATCGCCATCATAGTCATGTCTTCATTTCCCAGGTCTGAAACCTCAAGTTTGTCGACCAGGTCTACGATCGGGGTATGCTGTCCTGGTCCGTGCTCAGCCAGAAGGGCCGATGCCATCTTTTGCACCTGTATGAAGCTAGTGTCTGACCCCTCCTTCCCAGCCGGTGTGGGCGTCTCGGGGAGGGACTCGGTATCCATCTCCTCACTATGCGAAGCCATGGCGTAGTGGGACTGGTGTGGGTATACGGTCCTCGTGAAACTTGACAGGTCACGTTACACGAAGTTTGGAGATAGTTGTATGGTGTTGAAAAAAGTGCAATTTGCACTTAGGAGGAAAATAGGGGGAACGGAGCTTGTATATTACGGCACCAGCACCTCATGATACTTGTACTACCGGTAATTGGTGGCGCCCCTAACAATCTGGTTCCAAAAACCCAGCCCAAGTTTGGACGATTTCAGTTTTTAACACATTAACCCATCTGATCACCTGTTCTATTCTAGAAGTCCAAGCCCACGCACGCCATTACTGTATTATACTCGTACATAGCATCCTTAGATACCCCATGTTTCCCAGGGTGGGGAAATAGGGAAAATGGTGACCTGCGCAGCGGGTACTGTGTAACCTAAGGGAATGGGGCTTCTAAGGTTCTGGGGACAACGAGTATCCACTGGACATGGATAGCATCAAGTTGCTAAAGTAGATACCTGACCGAAATACCGATGCTGAAATACCGACAGATGTCGCTGGTATCACTGGTACTTGTATCATGCAGCAAGTCTTCCCGTTGTCCCAAGCGATGATCGCAATTTTGAAAGTCTCAACAACCCGCACGTCTATCAATTACCGCAGTAAAGCATAGAGTAGTTAACGGAGAAGGGCCCGCTCCGGCAGGGATGGGCTAGGACCACCGCCATTGGCCAACTCACGGAACTCCAGGCAAAGACATTGAAAACACTTGCAAACCCTAGCAAAAACCGTGTCGTTTCCCCCAGATCTCTATAACCCTGCAATGGTGCACTGGTAACTTAATTCAGATAAATGGGGAACGGCAATACCCAGGAGTAGGAGGAAAAACGGCCAGCATCTCCCCACCTCCCCCAAGAAATACCTATCTTCTACCCGCAGGGAATCAGGCACCAGACCATGCGGCAACTGGGAAAATTGCCCACTCCGTTATTGGTCATAGTCGCTTCCTTGCAAAGTCTTAGTGGCCCCGGAATTTCCGGGAGAAGTCGATCATGGAATGCACTCTTGCGATAACGAATTTTTGCGATATCGTAAACTATCTCGTTGCGGTGGCGCTATGGATTGAACCTAGTTCCGCTGCGGGAGAGCAGGACTTACCCCCCCTCCCCCGAATATATATATCGTGGAATCCCCCCCCCCCCTCCCCCCCCTGCCTGCAGACATTCAAAAACCATCCCCTAATAATTACGAGACGGCTACCAAAAAAAACCCCAAAATGGCGACCCTTCAGATAGGCAAGTCCTCACAGAACTCTGGCACGAACATGGGTCCTGTAGGGGAAAGTTATGACGCCGAATATGAACGGGAGCTGGTCAGGAAACTTGATAAACATATTGTTCCTATGATCATGCTTTTATATCTCTTTTCCTTCCTTGACAGGTAATCGTCTATCCCTGATTAAGTAAAAGTAATAGGCTGTAGGCTAATAACAATATTCGGTGAAGAGTCAACATCGGCAACGCAAGGCTCTATGGTTTAGAGAAGGAGCTGGGCCTCGTGGGAAATCAATTCCAGGTTTCAGTCTCGATTCTCTTCGTCACATACTTGCTCTTTGAGATACCCAGCAACCTTGTCTTGAAGAAGTTCACTCCCCGGAGATATAGTATGGAAAGCTCTCTTTATACGACCTGTCCGGATAAAGCTAATTATTTCTGGCAGTCGCTGCAATTGCAGTTGCCTGGGGTCTAATCGCTACGCTCACCGGCCTCGTAAATTCCTATAGGTCTCTCATTGCCTGCCGCCTGCTTCTTGGCGCAGTTGAGGCCGGTCTTTTCCCCGGCCTCACAGTTTATCTTACCTTCTTTTACACCCGCAAGGAGCTCGCGTTGCGCATTGGATACCTCTTTGTTTCTGCTGCGCTTGCAGGCGCCTGTGGTGGCCTTCTTGCATACGCTATTGGCTTTATGGAAGGCATCGGGGGTATGAAAGGTTGGCGGTGGATTCTTATCATCGAGGGCATCCCAACGGTACTTTTAGGGCTTGTGACATACTGGTCACTAGCCGATAACCCGGAGACTGCAAGTTACTTGAGTGAAGAAGAGAAGCGCTTTATGGTCATAAGGAGGAGCCGGGATGCATCGCAAACCGCAAGTGCCCAGGAGCTTCATTGGAGAGATGTCAGGTCTTGTTTTACAGATTGGAAGAGCTGGGCTTTGTGAGCCTTACCTTTCCCAGCTGGATGCAAGCAAACGGCTAACCAAGAGCAAGCGCTTCTGCCCAATTCGGCATTGATACTATGCTCTATGGTAAAGATTCTTCTAAGATCAACCGGTCCACAATAGTCTAACCCGGAAAGGGTTCAGTACCTTCCTCCCCACCATCATTAAAGCTATCGGCAACTGGAGCAATCCTCAAGTTCAGGCCCTCACTATCCCTTGCTACTCCCTCGGTGCGATAAGCTACCTCATAGTTGCCTATATCTCGGATAAGCAGCAAAGGCGCGCCCTCTACAGTCTGGTTTTCGCAGGGATCTCTATTATAGGCTACGGAATCCTCCTAGCACCTGTCCCCAGTGGGGTTCATTATTTCGGCTGTTTTATGGTCGCAGTTGGACTATACGTATCAGTTGGTTTACCACTCGCATGGCTTCCTAACAACTGTCCAAGATACGGAAAGCGTACCGCAGCTAGCAGTTTTCAGCTTACCGTCGGTAATGCTAGTGGAATCATGGTGCCCTTTGTCAGCCCCCCCTATCCCGGCCAGTTGACCCTGCACTCATTCTGTGAATACCGGTAGATCTACTTATCAAAAGACAGTCCCCGATACATCACCGGTCATGCCGTGTCACTCTGTATGGTTGCATGGGCCGCTCTGGTTTGGGGTTTCCTGTGGGTGAGTAGATGTCGCAACCCTAGTTCCACCAGCTAAAGGCAAAATTGACAATCGTGTAGTGGTGGTTGAGCAGGGCCAACGCCTGTCGCGACCGGGGAGAGGAAGATAGCAAGGTTTCCGGAATGTCCGAACAGGAGATCCTCGAATTAGGTGATGAATCGTAAGTTTTCCACCACCCATTCGAACCCATATATCATGAAACTAACTCTTCGTAGGCCAAGATACAGATACACCACCTAAGCGGACTACGATAAGCTACCGCACGACGGGCTAAGGTTTAAAAGGGGTTGACTTTTAATTCGCTAAATTTATTTTTTTCCCTCACTACCGTTTTCATCATGAAGATATTTATTATACGGTAGGTGGCTAGTCGTCCTATTGACTAAAAATACGAGTCATGCCACAATTATTACAGCTGTGGCGCATTTGGTACTCAAAAAATACTCGTGGGGTACATTACGGCATCGTAAACCACCTAAATACGGTATCATACCGTATTATAAATTTAAACCCCGGTCACAACATCTCCTTCTCTAGTCCGCCTACCAACCTCACTTGCACTCGTATCGCATTTCCCGAGGGTATCATACTCAAGCCGTGGGATCGGAGTCGGGTTTTTCCGCCTCTCTAGTAGTAACACACCCACATGAACGAGACCTCAGCCTGGTGACTTGAACGAGCTATTTAAACTGAGGCTCGAACCGATGTAGCCTCTAAGGCGGGTGACTATCCATGAGGAGACAAAACAAAAACTATCCAGGAAGGATTTCTCTAGATAATAGGGCTAAGAGTGTGATATAACAGTTTAAACGAAGCTATGGTGGGAAGTGCTATCAATATGTTAGTCGTAGCCCCTGCTCTTTTTTAGGTGCACTAAAAGTTTTATCCACAATATTCAGACAGTGTTCTAGGGCTTACCTCCCGCCCGGATCGATCTGTGAAGATTAGGCCCTATGCTAGCTCTAGCTGTAGAGCCTTGAACACCAAGCAAAAGCTCTCTCCACTGTCGGTACTCGGATTCCTCGGCTGGGGACTGGTTGTGACAAATTTATCCCCCCAACCGCTGTGGGAATATAATTTACTTGGCACTATCCGTAGCATTGGGAAAGGCGACCACCACTTCTCCAGAATTTTGTATAAACGGAGGAGATTTCCTTGGTTTTGGACCTTTAGAGGGGGCTTGAAATACATACTTTAAGTCACCGATATTGTCCTCTCCAACATCACATGGCTATTGACTCGATGGGCCGATATACGCATTTTGTCGCGACGTACCCGGGATCCCTCGTAAAACCAAGACCGGAGTCCGGGGGCCTCGCGAAGCACAGGTACTAGTGCCATACAGCACAGTACAGCACCACACGACCCGTGTAACAGGTTCGCCTAGGGAGGTGTATGCTTTTGAAGTATGATACCGTGTAGTACTGTGCTAGTACTAGTACAGTACGGCACAGTAGCATTTCTTTGTTCCGATCGCCATGGGAGCCAGGAACACAGTATCATACAATATCGGTTTCGCAGATTTTGAATGGACTGATTGGACAGTTTTTCAGCTTCGCACCGCACATCCCGAGCATTCAAAAACAGAAAATGTTTCAGTTTCTCAGTAACCTAATAGCACCAACTCCTTTAATAATAATAACAACAACTCTTTTAACAGTGAATCGGATAACATTACCATTGTCGATAATCAGTGTGAAATCTTAGCGTGGTTCTCTCCACTTGACCCCCGAGTGCTATAGTGGGGGACTCCTACAACCAGGGTGTATCGGAAATCCGAGTGATATTTTATGGGCGTGAATAGCTCGCTAACCAAGGCAGATTTTGATCAAATAACTACTAGATATGATAGCCAAAGAGGTGTATATTCATGGTAAGTCTTTGGTTCTTTGTTTGAGTCAATCATTGGTGAGCTATAATGAATCTAAGAGCACGATTTTTATATGTAGGTGGTAACAAATGTTACCAAGAATTTGTATGTGTGTAACACTATTAATAAGCAATACAGGCTGACTAAGCGTTGAAAAAGAGGTCTCCCACTTCGACCGATCCTCTATCCTGCGATGTGATTTATACACATGAGTTTTGAAGTCTTCCATTCCATACTGAATTCCTTTTCTATATGCATCCATTGTTCGGCACTGGTTATACCATGCCAAGACCCTTATTAGTCAGCTCAAAGTGGAATGTCGGGAGCCCAGGTCATAGGTGTCCCCCACCATACACCAGGACCTTCGAGCCCAACAGGTTGACAACGTGGGGGGACTGGCTCCTACAAACCGGGCAATTTCGAAGCTGGCGCGAACCATGCAACGGAACCCGCCAAGTCGAGCCTGGGAACCCCACCTTACTCTGCTACCGGTCGGCGGTCCGGGGGCCGGCAAAAAGAACTCACACAAAAAGGGAACTCTTAGAGTGCGCGATTTCACTTGCACTACGGTAGAGCTTTTTAGCCGGCATAAAAAGATAACCATATCTCCGCCAAACCACTGTACCGGTATTTCTGGGCCAAATAAGGATTTCCGGTCCCGCAGATTTTCGTGCTTTTTACCATCACAGTGCATCCTGCTTTGGAATTGTTGAGGTCGTGGCTCCTGATCCTTTGATAGAGATGAAAGGTTACGAAATATCAACCAAAGCAACTACACGGGGAATACGCCACCCGTATGGGTTGCTATGCTCGGGCATGAAGGACTGGTAGGCTTCTTGCTCAAACATGAGGGTATCAGCCCCGACTCGCCAGACAAACCCGGCCAAGAACCACCCCTGTAGGCCGCCAACAATGGGTATATAAAGGGGTGGTGAGGCTGCTGATCTCACGGAAAGATGTCATCCTTGACAGGCCAGACGAGTACTGCCATATGGCGCTCTCCCGGGCTGCTGAGAGTGGGTGCGAGGAAGTAGTGGCACTACGACTTTTGCAGGAGGTCGATTTAGATAGGTCAGATACAGCGACTAGGCGAGCACCACTCTCGTGGGCTGTCGAGGATGGCCATGAGGGAGCGGCGAAGCCGCTACTGTCCAGAAACGGCGTCAGCCCAGATAGACCAGATGTGAACAACCAAACACCACTCTCGCGGGCCGCTGAGAATGGGCATGAGGGAGTAGTGAGGCTACCGCTATCTCACGACGACATCAACCCCGACAGGTCAGACGAGCATGGCCATTCACCGATCTCGCGGGCTGTCGAGTATGAGCACGAGAGGGTAGCGGAGATGCTACGAGCCCGGATAACCTGTAATACCTACAACCTTTAAGACTCAGGGCGCATAAACCTGTCTTGCAGTCCTCGAGCACAGACATCCGACCCTCACGAAGCAGCCTCATAGTAATATCTAGTATTGTTCATATCATCAGGTCTTCCGATCCTCGTCCAATTCCCTAGGGTGTACGAAGCTGCCCCGCGAATATTGCTATCTCCCCTCGGCTGTGTTAGGCCCCCAGCCTAACCCTCGAGATTGTCTTTGATTTTACACACAGTATAATACTTCCGATCATGTGTCCGGTGTGAAGGGGGGGTGTGCAATTGTAGTTTTGGTGGGATGGTTCAGTCTATTGCTTGGTTTTGTGTTATCTTCGATTCGGTCCTTTCCTGGCTATATACTCTCCTTTTTGTGCATCTAGCCCCCCACTGTGCACCCTTCTCTCCTTGGCACCCCAGAGCATGGCCAAACCCGGGCAAGGTATCAATCATTAAACCACCGAGGAAGGAATCTGGTAGATAATGTCGCACAGCGTGAGAGCACTAATGTATTATATTATTCAAGTAGTAGGAAGTAATATCCATATACCGACCATGGTAGCCCGGCTTATATTGTAGGGGATATTTAGAACGCTGCTATCGGCGCCTTCTGCTGTAGAGCCCGCGCGCGAAGGTTCTAGCAGCTGTTGAAAAACATCCAGCTTTTTCCCATACCCAAAGGTCAGAATAATTGAGAATCTCGAGAAGACGTTAGAGTTGCCAGGCATCGCCTAGTAAGCCCTATTGTGTTTCCCTTTCTATCCGTCCCAACTAAGGGCTGAAAGAGAGAGCCTTTCCGCCGATTTCCTCCTCAAAGGGGGAATCCCCGATGTCCCTGCGTGATGCCCGATCATTCTAGTTTATACGGTAGGTACTTCTATGAAGCCACAGGAAAGGTTTTCGGTATTCCTGAACATCAAGCATAGCTCTGTGGTATCATATGATATGCCAACTCGTGTATACTCGCTATCATATCATACTCGAAACCCGCCCGTGAGCATCTTGCTTCGAGTGAGCGAACATGTTCTGAAGCTTTGGCATCTTCACAATAACCCCGTTTCCATGGCAACACGCGCTCCCCGTCAACCCACTCAATCGCCAAACTAATTTACGCGTTCTCCCACACCGCCGTCCTTTTCCAACATTCCTCGCGATCAAAGAACTAGCTATGGCATACGAACAGGAAAAAGATTTCCACCACCCCTACACTCCCTATCCGATCCAAGTCGAGTTCATGAATGCCGTCTACACGACTATTGAGGATGGATGTATTGGCATTTTCGAATCGCCAACTGGTAGAACTTTTCGCTCCCCTGTATAGAATCAGCACCCACTAACGAAATCCACTGTAGGCACTGTAAGCACACTCGCCGAAACAGAGAACATAATATATGGATTCAGTGTTAATTGATGGTAGGGTAAATCGCTGAGTTTGATATGCAGCGCCCTGACCTGGCTCCGCGAACATAAGTCAAAATCGTTAGAATCGCAATTGAAGGAAGATGAAAAAGGTAAAACACCGCGTGAGGGATTCAGTAGGTTTTGTTTGCGGTAGTGTATATGTGTGTGAGCTGATTTCTGTGGTGGGAACGAAAAGACGACGGAGCACCCGACTGGGTGAAGCAATTTGCAAGGGATGAGAAGAAGCAGAAGCTACTGCAGGAGAAGGCTGACATGGAAGCTCGGCTTGCGAGAATTCGGGAGAAGGAGAAAAGGGAGAAGCAGTTGGCGAACAGGTGCTCAGATCCGAAGACAAAACGACGGGTATATCATTTTTGCCTAGTTTATCAGTACACTGTTGTATGGCTAACTGGTTGATAGAAAGGCGAAGTAGCAGTTGAGGTTGATGGGGATGACGATGAAGCCCAGTTTTATCTAGAGGATTATGAGAGTGGGGACGAAGATGGTGGTGCTAAAGGTTCTTCTGGAGGCGATACACTCTCCCCAACGGTTGTTGCTTTGATGAAGAAGTGCGTTCGATTTGACTGATGAGTGATCACTCGTTTTTCCGAAGAACTAACAACACATAGATTAGGCTTACCAACAGGAAAGGAGACAAAAGACGAAGAATCAGAGCTCCCGGATGAAACCAAGGCACGGTTTCTCACCCTATATACATAAGCATTGAGTAATAACTGTTTTCTAGATCTTTTACTGCTCCAGAACCCATTCTCAGCTGACCCAGTTCATCAATGAGCTCCGCCGCGTCAAGATTCCTCCGCCCTTTCCTGATGAGGGGGATTCAGGTTTGGAGGAAGAAGTGAAACATCTATCGCTCGGCTCGAGGAAAAATCTCTGCATAAATCCCAAAGTTACAAAGCTCGGGAACCCGACCGCCATCAACGAGAGATGCTTGGAGCTGCAACGGTCAGGTACAATGCATAGAATTCTGGGCATAGGTGCCACAAAGCACAGCCGCTAACCCTAAGTCTGGTACGAAAGGAGCTTCTGAATCACGGTGCGAGTTCCTCCCGGGAAAGGAGGACCAGGTAGTTGTGCGCGATTTCAGGGATCATACACTCGCAAAGATCCGTGACATCGAAGATTTGGCATCCCTGGGAAAAAAGATGGGCGTTTGTCCATACTACGCATCGAGGCCCACAATAAAGCCTAGCGAGGCAAGTCTCCTTTCTTCGCCCCTTCTAATATTCTAACAAGCTTCTGGGATTGTAGATAGTCACCTTGCCATACCCACTCTTGCTTCAGAAATCGGCTCGCGACGCGCTTGATCTTTCTCTGAAGGGTCACGTAGTTATCATAGATGAAGCACATAATTTGATGAACGCAATATCGTCAATCTACTCTATCACGGTTTCACTATCTCAGCTGCAGCGTTCCCAAGCCCAACTCGATATCTATTTAGCAAAGTTCAAAAACAGACTAAAGGGTAAAAACAAAGTCTACGTTATGCAAACCGTGCGAATAATAGCTTCACTCGCATCATACTTGGAAGGAATATCCAAGAAGTCCAAAGAAGGAGTCATCTCCCCGGGCGACCTAGCTGTGCAAGGGATCGACCAGGTTAACTTCTACAAACTCCAAACATACCTTAACGAGAGCAAGCTGGCGCGCAAAGTGGAAGGCTACGCCGTGCATAAGGAGGCCAACGAGCAGGAGAAGAGCAAGCTAACGAACAAACCTGGGGGAGCCAAGGTTCTCCAGCCAACAACTACCATACCCGTTCTGACGCACATCCAGGGCTTCTTATTAGCCTTGACAAATCCTTCTGCGGAGGGAAAGATCTTCCACGGCAAGACCGAGGATAAGAACGATCCGTGTCTCAGGTACATGCTGTTGGATCCAGCTCACCATTTCCAGGAGATCGTGGAGGAGGCTAGAGCAGTAATACTAGCCGGTGGAACAATGGAACCGGTATCATAACAAGTTTTTTCAAATACCTTTATAGATGCGGATTCTAATTGGTACCAGATGAGCGACTACATAAACCATCTTTTCCCTTACCTACCCAAGGAAAAGATACGCACGTTATCATGCGGACATGTAATTCCGGAGGAGAACCTAACTGCATTACCAATAACTAAAGGACCGGGTGGAAGGGAGTTTGAGTTCACCTTCGAGAAGAGAATGCAGCCTGCTATGGTTCGTTCTCTTACAATTCAACTGCTGTTCCTCTCGTCCCCTAATGGTTTTACAGATTGAGGAGCTGGGTAGAGCCATAGTAAACCTCTGTCAAGTGATCCCGCATGGGGTCGTTTGCTTCTTTCCCAGTTATGCATATTTGGAATTTGTTGCTTCCCAATGGCGCAAGAAGCCCACCTCCTCGTCCAACACTGTCGCCAAATCCCTCTGGGAGCGTCTCGAAGATCGAAAAACGGTAGCCTATTCTTTACCCCCCTCTGACACATTGCTAATGCCGCAACTCAAACCTATAGGTCTTCCGGGAGTCTAGTGAGGGAAGCAGTGTCGAAGAAGTGCTCCGAGAGTATGCGCAAGCGATAGACAGCGGCAAAGGAGGCCTCCTTCTGTCAGTTGTTGGCGGGAAGATGTCGGAAGGGATAAACTTCAACGACAAGTAAGGTCTCGCACAGATCACTCAGAGCGTTGCAAGACTGACCAGGAACAATATATAAACCAGCCTTGGCCGTGGGATAATCATGGTCGGCTTGCCCTTCCCCAACAGCAATACCGCCGAGTGGCAGGCAAAGCTGGAACATGTAGAAAAGGTGGCCCGGGATTCCCACTGCGGAGTTCCCACGGATCTACCGTCCTCGCCGCCGTCCGAAACTGCAGTGCGCAATGCCTTTGCGAAGGCGGCTGGTAGGGAGTTCTACGAGAACGCTTGCATGAGGGCCGTCAACCAGAGTATTGGCAGGGCTATCAGACACAGAGAGGATTACGCCGTAATCGCGCTCATCGACAGAAGGTATTCCACTGAGAGGATAGCTTCGAAGCTTCCTAAGTGGATTCAGAATGGCTTCGTGCGGGGTCCCGTGGATAAGGTGTTTGGGGAAGTTATGGCAATCACTGGTAAATTCTTTAGGGCGAAAAATGCGCAGCGAAACATTGGGGAGCACGAGCGAGTGGGATTTCGTAGGTTACATTAAACTTTAGAGTTAAACGCTGCGGACGAGATTAGTCTTCATTGGCCGTTTGACCTTGGTGCAGTCAGAATGGCGCGCTTCAATACTGATGCAATACCCGCCTAGTCAGGCACCAGTGCCCCATGTACCTCTACAAAGAAATATTCTTCTTCCTCATACCGAATTGTGTGCGCGCATCCGCTGGGGATGGTTCGGCATGGACAATACATTTGTCCACTCCCATCCCCCCCAAAAAAATAGAGAGCCAAGACATACTCGTGCCAAGGTTGCAGCGCCCTAGCTGCAACCTTGGCACGAGTATGGGGGACGCCGCGGTCGGTCGGCAAGGTGGGGAAAGCTTACATATACGAGCATATTAACGATTATTGAGCAAGGCCAGGTGTGTGAAACAACCCTCCTCGTTTCGTGAGGTTCCCGGAGGTTCTAGGAAGAAAGCCACAACAGCTGCAAGGCCTACGGGAGCCCATAAGAGCACAAAATATATATACACACGGAGCCTCCTCGGGAAAAACCCTCCTACTCTTGGTCTAGACAGCGGATGTTGTCAGCAACTTGTAACCGACCATGATTTCCACTCTCACAGCAGCAAGAGGCGAAATTCACCGGGGAACGGGTCTGCTAAGTATCTGACAACGGGCGTTCGAGTTAGCACCCCTTTCCCTTCCTGGAGTCTCAGTATTCCCGGGATTTCAGCACCCTTCTTTCATGTGGTTTGCGGACTTGGCGCAGTAATTCTGGGCACTAGGTGGTACTGTACCACAGTGTGACTGTGGCCCCTAGCATGGCTCAGCCCTGGACTCCTCACCAGCGAGTTCAGTTACAAGTAGTGTATTTGTTATTAAAGTTGAGCCTGAACGACCATGACGGCAACCGAGAAGGGGGGGCGCTGGCTGGAGGGGCGGTTACCCTAAATGAAGATTCTTGTGGGTTTTATAAGGGGGTCGGTCGATATGTACTAGTACGAGTACTGTACCACTACTCGAGTACTGTACAGTTTACGGATGAACACATTCCAATACTGTAAGGGGCCGAGAGTTGGGGCGCTTTTAGTAAACATGGTACTGTACAGTACTACGGTATGAGCACATACCGGTAGAGCTCTAGAGGAGCAACCCAACCATCTCGTGTATTCGCCCCTGGATGTCAATATATCATACTACCGCGGAGTACCGGTATCGTATGGTATGGCATAGGCCGGTACGGTACTCGGAAGGGTAGTGGCTTTAGCGTATTTTGTACTATGGCGGGATTTTGGGGTGTGGGGGGGGGGTTAGGGGCTGGGGTCTCGTCGTCTCGCGCCCTTGGCTAGGGACATTAGGGTAGGGGTTCTTAGAAGAATACCCTACCGATAGTAGGTTATCCTTCCCTCTTGGATGCTGAGATGCAGACTCAAAGCTCATCCCTGAGCACATTTTTGACAGCCCCGAGCCCAACTGCCCGGCTCCTTTTTCTATGTGGTTGACACTGGCTGTCGCAGGGAGGAGCATCAGGATGAAACCCCAACTACTCGAGTAGAAGGCTCCACTACAACCCCAATTACCCTAATAGGAAATGTCGGCCATCGCTTAGTAGCAAAAGGGGTGTAGCGCCCAGCCGTTTAACTCTATCGTATGGTACAGTATCGGACATTTTTTCTCTCCTCCCTGCCTCCTCCGCCCCACTAACCCACTCCTTGCCTCCAACAAGTGGACTTGCTGCATACCGGTATTCCCTAACCTATCCTCCCCCCCCCCCGCCCTCACCCCGAACTCATCAGGAAGGAGCAATTGTGAAGGGAGGGAGAGGAAGAGCACGTCCCCCGGCTGCCCCGAGAGCCAACACGGTCCCGTGTGCATAGAAAAAAGGTACAGGGTTCCTTCGAAACAAACCCGATACGCTGCCGTGGTGATATATGGTTTCAACGTCCAACAACCCCAATGAGCGTGTACGGGGAGAGAGCGGCAGTGCCCCTAGAGGGGAAAAGAAGAAGAAACTTGGTACCGGTATCCCAGGAGTACCAGTACCAGTGCGGAGTGGAAGGCAGAATGGACATGAAATAAAAGACTCCAAGACTCTCCCCTTCACTCGAGATTTATTTTTTTCTTACCCACTCCACTTCTTCACCTCCATCCAACACCTTAGTTCTCAGTCTTCCGAAAGTCCTAAGGGAAAGGGGTTTTCGTTCTTTATTTTCTTTCTTCCTTCTTTTTTCCTCCTAACTTTCTTGCTCGCCGGCCGAGATTACGTTGATCGTAGCTTCTGTTCTATACCATTATTTGGGAGTTTCTTCAAGTCTCACATTGCTCGTCCGATACTTTCTGCATAAGCCCGACTTTTGAAAAGTGCGATCATGATTGTCCCTACCTTCTCCGTTGTTTTGCTCGCCTCTGCGGGGCTTGCATCCGCTATTTCCCCATATCAGGTCCACGCCCGAGGTCTAGACTTGGTCCCTCGACAGGTATGCTCTTCTCCCACTCCCTCCAACACTCTACCCGTCCCTATTACTCTCCGGACTTGGAAAAGCAAGCTTGCTAAGTGCCGTAATAGAATAACAATGGCGGGAATAACCGTGGTGGGAATAACGCGGGTAACAATAATAATAATACCGGGAATAACAATCAGAACAACAATGACCAGGCCAATGACCAGAATGACCAGGCTGGTGACAACCAGAATAATGCGCTACTTTTAGACCCTGCGAACGTTCAGGAAGCTTCACAGGCGACTGGTCAAGAGGATGGAGCTGAAGCTGGTCAGGCCGATTCTGCTACGTATGTTATATCTCATTTGAGTGGGTTGGTTTGGATGGAAACTCACGGTGCTTTAGAGATGATGCCAACTTTATCAACTTCTGTACCGGAAAGACGTTGACAAACGGTCTGCAAGTACAGGGTGGATCGTGTAACGGAATTGGTACGCCTACCTATCACTCATCCATGACCGAGCCTACTCTAACAAGATAACAGTCATGGGAGACATCCCATCAACAGCAAACATGGTATCAAGTATCATCATCAACCCACAGCCAGGCCAGGACCTCGCAGCAGATACAGCCTTCACCGTGCAAGTACAAGTAGAGAACTTGGCTGCCGGTTCCTTCACCAATCCAGCAAACACATACTACGCCGCACCACAAGCTCTCAACGGTGGTATTATCGTCGGGCACACACACGTAACCGTCCAAGATTTGGGTGGCAGCTTAACACCCGATGCCGCACCCAACGCCGACACCTTCACTTTCTTCAAGGGTATCAATGATGCAGGCAATGGAAACGGGTTGTTGGAAGCCGAGGTTACAGACGGTTTGCCGGCGGGCTTCTACCGTATATGCACTATGGCTAGTGCGTCCAATCATCAGCCCGTGATCATGCCGATTGCCCAGCGTGGTGCTCAGGACGATTGCACGAAGTTTACTGTTGGGCAAGGAAATGCGGGTGCGGACAACAACAACCAGGTATTTTGATATTCAGGTGACCTGAAGTTTTACTCAATACTAACGTATTTCGGGATCAATAGGGCGACCAAGCAGGCCAAGGTCAACAGGACGGTCAAGGAGGTCAAGGTCAACAGGGTGGTCAAGGAGGTCAAGGTCAGCAGGGTGGTCAAGGAGGCCAAGGTCAACAGGGTGGTCGGGGTGGCCGTAACCGTGGCCGCTCCTTCTCGGCATAAACCTCCTAACCCCTCCCCCCTTTCATATGCCTCCCTATACCTGTAACTCCCAAACTATTGTTATTGTTATAGAGAGTTTCCCTTTTCCTCCTCCTCCGCCATTATCCTCCCCACAATATTTCCTTCATCATGTGGATAGACATCTAGTTCGAAAGCAGTAACGACGAATAGCCCCCACTTACTTTCCTTCTTTTC